CTTCGCCCCACTGGTCGTGGTTGTCGTCTTCAAGGTGCTCGTCTCTGATCACGATAGTGAACGCAGTCTTCGTCAAGATGGTCTGCTTTGTCGTGAACGTCTTTGTGGTGTCCGTTTCAATGGCACTTTCCTTCTCTGCAGCCTTCGGCGCGATGGTCTCTCCTCACGGTGTTGGTTGTCTCGCCGTCGGCAGGGAACATTGAAGAGTAAATGTACCTGGCCATCTTCTAGGGAAGATTCATTCTCTCCTTGCATGGGTGATGACTGAAGGAGGGTCACCCTGCGGGACCGATGCGCCCGACAGGTGGCGTCGTTGCCGGGGATCTCGGCTGCCTACCGAGGTCCTTAGAGAACGAACCCAGGTTGAAAGCAGGCTGATGATCCAAGCAAAACGACAATCTTCATTAATGGCGTTAGGTAAATGAGTGATGTGATGATGATTGTAGTGGGATTGCACTGTTAAATGACAGTGTCATGATACACTAGCGATAGGAAATGACTTGGGTTAGGAAGAGGTATTTTCCTCTTACGAAAAAACTTCTGCAAGGGAAACCATAAACGTTTTGTTTTAACTAAGCATTTGAGTTTGCCTTTTTAACCCTTTATTCATTCATTTACGTCAGCATACATTTAAGTAAGCTTATTTAAATGCAGACTCATGTAATTCGATGTACTCGATGCTATTTATCTGAGGTTTATTTATTTATGACTAGCCATATTAACTATCTTTTCAATTTTATTTATTTAAATACAATTCTTCTAAGTTTATCTATATAAGTTAGTCAACTTAAAATTATCAACTTATGTTTATTTTTATTCTGAATTGATATGCATGAGTTGATCCTTTAAAAGAAGGTAAAGAAGTTACACAAAATCCACGTCCGATGCGGATTCGGAGGCGAATGGAGTGACCAGTTTCTTGGGAAAGTGAATTTCGCAAGAAGGTGGTCAATGTGTAAAGTGTACCTTAAAGAAAGTTGCAGCCCTATGTTATTGTTCCCTGAGAAATGACTTTGAAGAACTTATAATCTTGTCTTGTAGGTAGTAGTGAGACCCACGCCGGAACTATGTTCCTGGTCCATAGTGGGGTGTTGTCGTCTGATCCTTTGTGGTAAAATGTCTACATTACTACCGAATAGGAGGAAAGTGTTTGAACCTTGCCAGACCATGGCCTTTGAGGGAGGCGGCTACTACCTGCCACATAGGGGTAGGGGGTGAATCCCTAACTATTTTTGTGTCAAGTGGGTTCATCTGGATGCGAAGGGATAGGCCATCCAGAGTATGCATGATGAGGTTGACTACCTTATTGGCAAGAGTCTGCAAGGTGCAAGTGTTGTAATCGGAGGGAGATGCAGTGAGGCTTGATCCTTAAGCGGGGCTCAGGAATAAGATGTTATCCCTTTCAGAAGGGTTACACTGCCCCTCGGCACAATATATTTTTGTCAAAGCCTTGGGAAGTAAAATATAATATTTTTTTTTGCATTTGAAAGCCTTCATGATTGGAAAAATTCACTTGATCATGGCACCATTATTTATTCATGGTTATTTTTTCTCCAGTATGATACATAGCATTACAAAATATTATTGTTGTTGTTTTGTCCTTAAAAATATATACGATCTACGAGTTGAGCGTAAAAATTATTCTTTAAGCAAACGTATGCGATATTGTTCTGATTGTGACCGTTTTCCAATTACGATTATTAGGGACATGACACTTTTGTGCGATACCTGGTGATATTGTGATCACCCCTGATTCTTTTTCGAATTGGGACTTTTCCCAATGTTGAGTATATTGGTGACATAGTGATTACCCTGATTTATTTTTGAGTTAAGGCTGTTCAACTCTGAGTATATGTGTGCCCTTAAGACTATTTTTGTTCCTATGAGTTGGGATATCCTGACCCTATATGTAATAAAGACCATAGACTACCTCTTTGTTTGGCGATCACAATCACTCTCACATGTGTTGGACTTATCCTGATGTATGATGATTTTTTGTGTGAGAGGTGTACATGATGCATCTCGTGCGTTTTTGTGAATGTGAAATGTGTAAACTGTCTACTCTTTGGTATACTCGCGCAATCTGCC